AAATCTCGCCATGTAGAAACTTGGAGTTCCGACTCCCCAACCACGTTAGTAACAGCGATATTCGAATCCCGGGCAGCCTTTGGACCGATCCGCCTTAACGTCCCGCTCAAAGTGTGCTCGACGATGTGGGACTCGCTGTCGATGCGGTAAACGTAGAGCGAACCTTCCAGCATCGCCGCTGCGAAAGCCGAGTTACCCTTCTCACCTATCTTGTAGTTCAGCCACTCCCCCGCCTTGTGGTCGTCGTAATTATACGCCGCGAAGTCGTGAACGACTCGGCCTTCCTGGTCGAGGTACAAAAGGGAGAGCTGTCACGAAGGGGAAGAGAGACAAGATCAGCGAAGCGTCCCCACGGTAAATCCCGGGCAGACGGGCGGAGGGGAACATACTATGTCGCTATTCGTCCTGTTATTGCTGTTGTCGTAATAAAACGCCGCGAGCAGGGAGTTCTGCCTAGGGGCGACTGGCGTGGGAACACGCTCCGGGTCCTGCCAGACGCCGTCGGGCCGGCTGCGCAAAAACATGTCCCCCGTTGGCGCCTGGTAAAAGACGTGCCGCGTCCATTTCTCGGGATGCTGCATGTTCTGCGCGGCCGCGATATTCACGGCCCCGTAATCCTCGCCCTCCCTGACGAGGGGGGCGAGGAGCAAATTTGGTATCAACACGGAAGTTCACCCAAGTGAGGAGAGATACCGTAATAGCGTAACGGAGGCCTTTCTTGGAGTTGTACACCTCGGGAAACACGACCCAAATGGCCCAATCGGACGGCAAGCGAGCTCAGAGGAAGGATTTCAGGCCCAGAGGCGGGGAGAATTTGCGGAAAGACGTAACAAGTACTTCCTAGAAACATCCTTCCTCGCACCTACCAATTCTTGGCATGGTGCTGTTGGTGCACACAGCCAAATTGCATACAAATCCTCAACACCTGCCAACTCGGCGACAAACACCAACATTCCCGCCCGCCAACGGCGTCGGCGATGGCGTCATGCCGTTGCCCTCCAACCGCCTCGCTAATAGGGCGCTGCAATATACCCTCCTCGGCGGCCCGCCTGCCTGGAGGGGCCTGCTGCCGCCGCCCCGGCCCCCGCGCCCGATAGCGCAATTGAACACGCCCTCCCCCTCCGGGAGTCCCTGCGCCCAGATTGGCGCGAGCAGGACCTGGAAGGCACACCTAGGTTGGATTGAGTAGACCCGGAGAAGTCTATCTTGGAAGGGGGATGGTTGTAACAGCCCGTGTGGTTGTGCGCTGACCTCCTTTAATAAGCTGTGCAGACGGGCGATTCAAGCAACAGCTTGGGTTGATGACCTTTTGGAGTGCTATTGGCTCAGTGGTATAAGGCCCGCACTGCTGACGTTACAATTGGTGTCCGTACGAGCAGGACATGCTTTGTCCCCTAATCAGGGTTCGGAGCTTGGGTGCGCCTAAGCGGGTTGAGCGTTCGTTATCTGCGGAGGCCAGCCGGCATGCGCATCATAGAGTTGGACTCTCTTGATCCGCGCATCTTTCAGGGCCCGCGCCCCTCTGGCTACCGCCCGGAGTCCTCCCTTGAGGGCCCCAGTGGTGATTCATGGGACTGCTGGTCGTGGTTCTGTGCGGTGCCGGCGAACTGAGGAAGGAGCCCCACGCGGGTGGTCGTGTCGGATGCACGTTGATGCACTGCGCTGCACCTTTTGCACGACTCGCAACGCCTGCACCACCAACCACCCAACATAAAAGCCACCTGTGCAGAAAGTCGGGGGCCTCAATCTACAACCATTCTCCTATTTTTCTGGCTCATTTGGCAAGAAACAAGTGTTTTCGGGTTGGTGCACTGTCGGGGTGCACGGGGAGCAGAGCGAGGAAGCTGCTTGGCGCCAGTTAGTGCATGACGCGCTCAAACGCACCGACAATTAGGAATGCTCCTTCCTGCGACTTGGGGCATGACGCACTCGAATGCACGGAATGCACGATGCACGGAATGCTCCCGCCTCGCCACGACTGGGTGCTGGCAGCTGCCAACAAAGCATGCAGCGGGAAACACGAAAGCACATCACCACGGCAGGCGCGCGCCCAAACTTGGAAAGAAGCAGCAAGATCAATTGAAGCTGCCCATTGCCTCTAGCACGGTCCCTAAATTAATTATCGGCATCACCACCACCACCACCACCATAAAAAAAAGGCGCTAATATTCAGAAAGAAAGGGGGCTCTAATCGCCTGCAGTCATTT